GCCGCGTGTGCGTGGGTATACTGTGTATTTATGCAAGTGTGTGCTTGCGTATGGTAATTGGATGTGCAATTAGAAGCAAAAAAAGTAAAAGGCACAAACAACTGAGATAATTGCGGCTAACCCAAATTAAGCCTAACAATTTGGCTCTCAATGATAAAAACCCGGTTTTCCTGAAAGACAACAAATATACATTTTTAATCCCAAACAAAGCTATTTAGCCGATTCAAGGTTTCTTTAGTGTGCATTTTCAACATGCACCAGTGGATTCTCGAAACTACTCAAGCTTTACTTTCGCGGGAGGAGCGTTAAGGTGACACGTAACGAGGTGAAAAGCGAAGGCTGACCGGCAGGAAATGCAGCACTGTCAAGGGATCCGGAAGAGTTGTCAACTGAATGGTTACTGTGAGGTGCAATTAACCAAGTTGTAAAAGCAAATAAAAATTAAATAAAAACGTGTATCAAAAAATGTTTTTTTTTTTTGCCAATACGTAAAAGCGGCATTCTGGTTTTTCTCGAAAATGGACATTTTTCCACCTAGTACTCGTGGGGTATTTTTTGCATCAAATTCAAAAATTCATTTATCATTTATCCTTCTGTCACTTCATTTCAAAATCCCTTTTGTCTGGCACTGTTTTTTCTTCCAAATTTGGCAATTTTTTTTTTTGGGGATGAAAAGCTGATCACCTGAATAGGACGTTCTTCATCCTGATCACTCTCTGGCCTCAATTCCTTTACATCTGTTTTCGTTTCTTTCTTAATCTTTTTTGATGATGATGACGACGAATCGGATTCCTCTTCTTCTTCTTCTACGATCACATTATTGCCCTGAATTGGGAACTGATTAGTCAAAAGCGATCTGAACTGATCAATCGAATTAAAATTTCTTATCATATCAATTTCCTATTTGTAGGCGAAAATGGCGCAGTGGTATTGAAAATTGATAAGCTCAGCTCCCCAATGGTGGGAAGTTCGAGATTTTGATTGCTGCCAATGCCAAGAAATAATTTTAAGCCTAAAATCTTTCGATGAGTGCTGCTGTTCCTTAGAGTCACTTATATACAAAATTTTTCACATGTACACGAATACACATGCACACACACATACACCCGGGCGTGCACTCGTACACGGACATATTCATACGCACATATACAAATATACACGCATACGTGCGCACACGTAAACATACATATGCAAATGCGCACCTGCACGTGCACATACGCACACGCATACATATTCACACTAAAAATTGTTTCATTTCTGAGTACCCGGAACATGCGGAGATGCGTAAACGTACGCATTTACAACCATGCATGCATAAGTACACACAAACACACACATACACGCGTTTACGTAGACACGCGCGGGCATATATAAGCAAATAACCATACACCCATACTGAAAAATGTTTTATTTTTAAGTGTCAGAAACATACTTGAACAGTTCAGAGACGTGAACAACTTATCGGCAGCTTTTGGCAAGCGCATGCAACGTACACAGAGCGTAGAAGAAAACGTTTGACCAGAAGATTTGACAATCAGTGGAACATACCACAAGATCCCAATCCCATGGATCCGAATAGGATGCCTGAAATCGAACCAGCGTTTCTTGCAGGCACTTGTAGACCAACTTGTAGTCAGGACGTGACTCGAATTTCAGTGATCTGATATGCTCCATTATCTTGAGCCATTCTTGTGGACAGTTATCAAACAACTCCTTATCGTTGGCCTTCTCTTTCAAATCAGCAACGACTTTCTCAGCCTAAAGTAACAGAAATTGCCCTGCTTTTTTATTCACAAACAACAGGTTTTAATATAATATTACGAGTGCTTAACACCAGAATATTTAACCTATGAAAAAGGCAGTATCTAATCAGGAGGTGGAAGGGAGGAAGTGGGGAGGGGAGGAGGAGGAGAGAATGAAAAAAGGCATCAGAATCTTCCGGAATGTGCTGAGCCATACTGGAACTGAATGAACTTTGAATAAATTTATTAGCAAGTATTAGCGAAGGAACGGCCGAAGTTTGAAAGATTTCTTTCTATAAGTTGCGAGTCGTTGTTTGGCAGACACTGGCCTCTTGACCAAAAATAATGACCATAAGTTCAACTGAATCCTTCCCGAAGCTAACTCCTTTTTTTTGAATGCTTGTAATTTTCGCTCAGTTTATTCAACTCCCAGTTAAATTTGTTACCCCTCGAACAATGCGTCAAGGGCTATTTTATCATTTCTACTAGAAAACGCTGTCATACTTTTTTGTCTCGCCACGGAAGACCAGTAGTCAGGTCGACGAGAATGTAAACCAGCGACCACAGATCATCGGCACGGCAAACATCTTGCCTTCTGTGCACACGTGGAGAACAGTACCTGAAAAAGTAGCTGCTTGTATGAGCTACCTGATTGGATACTTGAAGCAGTTGCTAGTTCATAATTTGGTTCTTCTGGCGACCTTTCCATTTGCTGTATCGCCTAGTGCATTTTGTTTTAGCGTTTGCCCGTCTTTCCGAAATTCTGAAGTACTAACAAATACACCGAAAGGGATGTGAGGCACTTATAGATCCAAAACGGAGTCTCGGGACAAAAAGTTTTGACTTGGCCAAATCTAGAACACAGAGGCTTCGCCAGAAGAACCAAATTATGATTTAGCAACTGCTTCAAGTAGGCTTCGCACCGCCCTTGTGCCTTCATCAGTGTATTTTATTTTAGACGCTATTTGCCTTGTGAAAAATTAGCACTGTTCAGCTGAAACTTCTATACACACACAGTCCAAACAGTCCTGATAATTTTGTAATTATTACAAGAAATGGTATGTGGTACCTCAAAATTCCTCGTACGAATGCTTTTTCGCGTGGTGGCCGTATCGTGAGCGATCCGTTAGTTTCCCTTTTGATATATGTCCGACACATTCCAAAATCCACAAGAAATATCATTTTTGTTTCTTTACCGCTTAAACCAAGTAACATGTCGCCTATAAAATACATGAGAAAAAAGCAATTGAAATAATGGCATTTTTACCGCAGAATGAGCATTTTATAATAAATAAATGTTTGAGGGAGACAAAATGCGAAGTTTTTTTCAACAAAAATCGATTCTGTAAAATTAAGAATTGGAGCATAAAGAAGGAAGGGATTTTCATAATCGAGAAAAAAGCGAAGTTAAAAGGCTATCGAATGTTAAATCGCGTAAGACGGAAAAACGTATTAGAGTTGGACAAATCAACAGGTTAAACCGAACTGGTGA